ATCTTCCTGTGCTGGGCCTGGGTCCCTTCCCCATGTGTTCAGAGACAGAGTGCATCCCTTCAAGTGGGATGGGCTCTCGAAGTCCCCCACATACAGCAGGGCAAAAAGCCAGTCCACCTCCGGAGGCTCCCAGGAGTGCAGGGGCCTCCCCAATGGCATCCATGATCAGGGGGCTGGATTAGTCCCGTACTGGCCTCCCAAAGAGCGTCTGGGGTCGATATGCTTTCCCTTTTTCAGGCCAACTGTTTATGTGGGTTTCTCAATTCTTTTGAACATCCAAACTATAACCTAAACTAAGTCTTTCCTCATTTAAGTCCTTCCTTGTTTGTTCACCTTTAAGAGTCCCAAGGAATGGGGTAGTTATGAATGAGGGGGTTGCTTTTAGAATCCAAAGGTGGAGGCTGAAATCAGGATTCCTGGAAACAGCTAGGAGAATAAACAATATGAAACTGAATTATGAATATCAAGTGAGGCAGTAGAACTTTTACTTCCAATCCAAAGTCATGTGGAAGATTACCTCAAAGTCGTCAGCTGCATGAGAGAACAGTGTTGGCTCCTTCTCTTTATCTTCTGATCAGCAGCACAAGACAGTTTCAACCATCTTCTGTTAGTCAGAGAAAGAACAAATGTCAAAATTTGAAGTGGCATTTCTACCAAGTATCATAGTAAGGTCAAAACTCTATGACTCAAGAGTCTGAGGAAGAAATAGTAGAGCTGCAGCCTACTAGCTGTAGAAGCCTGGCTTAAATGTCTGGTGCAAAAAAAAGTAACCTGAGTTATGGTAAATCAAAGACCATCTGGATATGGATATGGATATCTATGTATATATAAAATATAATGTCTCTTATCTAAATATTGGTGCATGGAAAGTGTCATTAGCTTAGTAGAGAGACCAGGCAAGTCTAAGTTAATAATATCTGTATTATTCTAGATAAAAGGTTCCATAGTAATCAACAGGTCCACAGACAGTGCTGAGTAGGAGCTGGCCCAAAGTCTGAGGCAGCAAAAGAGACAGACACAATATGAAAACAAAGAGCCATGACTCCTCATCTCAGTCTAGTCATCATCAGACATCACAGAATCAAGTTAATAGTATTTACAGCAAAAGTGGCCTTCAAGTGATCTGGGCAACTCATGAAATCTCCCCTGATTCAACAAAAGTGTAGCAGGGTAATATTCTAATTTGTGAGGAGACGGAGCTATCATATGTTTCTCTTCGTATGAAATAAGACACTGTATTTTGTTTAAGATATTATATTAATATATGCACTCATTGTGTTAAACATCTTTTATTACATACAATGCAGTCACATTAGAATAAGTTCAGATACACACATATATATTTGTATATAAACCTATGTGCATATTTTGGTACATCTCTGTTTATACAGTTGGTCTATGAACATAAACATGCCTTTGTGTATATATGTGTGTGTATCTGTACATTGTGAGTGCATTGTGTGTGTGCATTGTGTGTGTCTATGTGTGCATTGTGTATATGTGTGTGTGCATTGTGTGTCGATATGTGCGTTGTGTATATATGTGTGTGTGCATTGTGTGTGTCTATATGTGCATTGTGTATGTGCATTGTGTGTGTCTATGTGTGCATTGTGTGTGTGTGCATATTGTGTGTGTGTGCATGGTGTATCTATATGTGCATTGTGTGTGTGCATATTGTGTGTGTGTGCATATTGTGTGTGTGTGCATGGTGTATCTATATGTGCATTGTGTGTGTGCATATTGTGTGTGTGTGCATATTGTGTGAGTGTGCATGGTGTATCTATATGTGCATTGTGTGTGTGTGCATATTGTGTGTGTGCATTGTGTGTGTCTATATGTGCATTGTGTGTGTGCATATTGTGTGTGTGCATATTGTGTGTGTGTGCATGGTGTATCTATATGTGCATTGTGTGTGTGTGCATATTGTGTGTGTGTGCATGGTGTATCTATATGTGCATTGTGTGTGTGTGCATTGTGTGTCTATGTGTGCATTGTGTATATGTGTGTGTGCATTGTGTGTCAATATGTGCGTTGTGTATATATGTGTGTGTGCATTGTGTGTGTCTATATGTGCATTGTGTGTGTGTGCATTGTGTGTGTCTATGTGTGCATTGTGTGTGTGTGCTTTGTGTGTGTCTATGTATGCATTGTATGTGTCTATGTGTTCATTGTGTGTGTCTATATGTGCATTGTATGTGTGCATTGTGTGTGTTCATGTGCGTATTGTGTATATGTGTGTGTGTGTGCATTGTGTGTGTGTCTATATTTGCATTGTGTGTGTGCACGCACAGGCATGCAATTTCTTCCCTCCCCTTTTCTCTCATTTGCTCCCCATTTTTATACTCTTCTCCTTCCATACCTCATCCTCTCACTCCCTCCTTCCCTCTCCTCCTCCTGTTCTTTCCTTCCTGTCTTCTTCTTCCTTCCACACTCTTTGATCTGTCTTTCCATCCTTTGATCCCTTGGTTTTCCTATTTTTGAGGTATGATTCTCTTTGATGTACTTGGTGTACACAATGAAAGTTGCTGATGGTTATAAAAACATCACCCCTCCCCCTCCTGTTGTACTGAATGACTGATGTACACGTTTCTGGCTTAAAAACACCTCACCTATTTGTTCCCAATTGTGCCGAGCATCAGAACAAATTGTTTTGTATGTTTCTTTGAAAAAAAGATTGAATTCAGTCACACAGGTGTTTAGGAATCTGTGATGTGAATTGCCTCCAGTCTTTGAGGACCTTTGTGAGGGACAGCTCTCTGAAAACACTGCGGCTGTTAGCAACAGGACTGGTAACTGCTATAAAGGCCTATATTTTGAGAGGTACTACTTGACTATCCTCAACTCATATTTGGCTAATCTTTGGATATAGAACCATGAGAACAAGTGGTATATACTAAGGACTGCCTCACTGCATTACAAAGCTGAGACCATCTCATAATCGACATCAACAAACTGATGACCAATGTTGGGTGGTTGACTGTTTGCTCTGCAAGAATATTGAAATGTCTAGAAATAGCTTTAAATCACTATAGAGTGAGGCCTCATTTTTTTCTAAATATTTTGTTGCAGTGAGCACAAAGGCATGAGGATTTCACTTTATTATGTATCTAAGTTGAAAGCCAGGAGAGACTTCCCAATTTCTGGAGGACATCAAATATGCATTTTTGGCAACTAAACATTATTTTGTTCGTATTTTAATTTTTCTCTTTGATTCTACAAAACAGTACAAGGTAACTAACTATTGAAAAATCTGTAATACCTTCTGAATTTTTTTTAAAATTTATTTATTAGTTCTAGTTAGGGAACAAGCTTGTTTCACATGTAAGTCCCTTTTCCCTCTCCCTCCCCTCACTCCCATCCCTCCTCCCCCACCCCCGGCCCACCCTCCACCCCATCC